CCTCTATTTATTTATATTGCTCTTGTATAGTTGAAAAATCACCCTTGCAGGGCAGGTAGTGGCTGTTTTCCTCCTCCAATTGGTGTGATCCGTCTACCACGCTGGCAGGCCCTAGGTCTGCTCTGCTGGTCGGTCAAAGGTCCACCTACCCAGCAGGCGCGAGGGGCACCTGTGTCACTCTGCAGGTTGCTGGGCCTAACCTCCCGATGGGTTGCAGGTTCCCCTAGCTTGCAGGCACTGGGGGAGGGGCCGGTTCCGCCCTTCAGCAGGCCGCTGGGCCTGATCTTCCGGTGGTCACAGTCCCGCCTACCTTGCAGACACTGGGGGAGGGGACAGGCCTGCCCTTCAGCAGGCCACCTGACCTGTCCTAGTGGGTCCGGTCCGCGTTCCCTGCAGGCGTGTGTAGCTGCTCTGTCACTTGGCTGGTTGCTGGGCCTTCCGAAGTTATTTAGATTGGTATTTCCCCYTTCTCCTTCCAGTAATGTTTTTTTTTATTTACAATGATGATTTTATAAGTTTCCTTTCCATTTTGTAAAGTTATGATGAGCTAAACGATTTTTTAAAAAAAAATCTTATATTCAGGTTCACTTTTTGTTTTTGCTGTAAAGTTAGGTTTTGATGAATATACACACAGTTATGCATGTACCATTAAAGTATTATACAGAACAGTTTTGTTGCTTCTCAGAAAACATGCTTTATTTCACCAATTCAATTGCCATGATCTTGAATCATGACAATCACTAATGTTTATAATCTTTATAGTTTTATATTTTGCAGAACATGATATAAATGGAATCACACACATGTAGTCCTTTCAAACAGGCTTCTTTTAGCAATATGCATTTAAGATTTACTCAAGCTCCCAGTATCCTTTGAGTTCATTTTTTTTCTTTCCTTTTTTTCCTGAACAGTTGYTCATTCTATGAATCTAATACTGCCTGCTTATCCATTCACCCAGTAAAGGGCATTTTTGATTGCTTCTAGTTTTGTTGAAATGCAAAGCTGCTCTTAACATTTGCACATAGGATTTGGTATAGAAATATATTTTAAAATCAATTGATAAATATATGGATCATGACTTATGATTTTAAAAATTAAAAACCCCACTCCAAGGATCTAGAGGTTTGATGTGCCTCAAGTATGAAGATGTGAGTCATATTCCATCCAGTTTTAAATTTTAAGTTTTTTTTATTGTGTTCTAATTCTTTGAAAATCAATACATATGCTGAAATATATGATTAAAAGGGACACCTTCAGCCTTGATCATATACATTGTGGTGACAGAATTTAAAGCAAAAGCTAATTTGTTATGATGATCAACTTAAAATTGCTGACTACCTGATTATATTTACCCCACAAATTGTTTCATTATGGTTGAGTAAGTTTTGTGATTTCTGCTCATGGCATCTTAATTTCTGGACAAATTTATAAGTCATGAATTATTTCCCAAGAATTCTGTGAAAAGCCAAATGTTAAAATAAGTGACTACTAATTTGTAACACTTTTGTATTTAGAAAATAAGTTCTTTGGTTTAACTTATTCTTTTTTGATGGTTATTTTTAACTCTAATCAAGAATCTGTTGAAATTTTCATATAGGATAAAGAATGGCATTCATTTTTTTCCCTCTCAATAACAGTAGGAGGCATTTTCTATCCCAGCTTGGAGCAATCTAGCTTCCTCCTGCCACTCCAGTTTTATGCTCTCATGGTGAGCTAACCTCCAACTTACAACGGAAAAAGTGTGCTGAAATAACCTTGCCAAGCTTCGTTATGAAGTTTAGTGCTTAAGAAAAATAAACTACTCCCTAAGGGATTGGTGCTGTTTTAGAGATTTGAAATAAACCTGTGGTGAACCATAATTATCAAATTAAAAAAGTGTATATATGAGAGAGAATTATATATAGTTTGGAAAGGCATATGAAAACAAATACTTACAGGCACATCAACATATTTTGCAGCTGCTTTCACCTTAAATGGGGAGAAAAAGAGATATTTATGAGAATTATATTCTTAACTACTATATAAGTATGATAAGAGTTGAGAGACAGCAGAAGAGAACTCATTCCAATACTTACAGTGAAAGACAGAATGGATGAAAAGAAAGTGCCTTCATCATACCTTGACAGCTTAGACAACACTCCTTCCAACACTGAAACAAACTATAATACAGAATACAGAGAGTAGTTAGAATGTTTCTGAGCATGCAATCTAATAGCAGTGCAAACAATTCCTGAATCAACTTCTCCCCAGCTACAAAAATCTACAAAGACTCAGCTGACAGCTGAGGTCAAGCTAGCTTGCATTACTTACTCTTCATTTCTGAACATGAACTTTAAGGTCCTTTCCCATGGCTGTAAATAATGCATCATTTAAAAAAATAATGTGGAATAGGAGTATAGTCTCAATACATATACGATCATTTAAGTTACTGATAAATAACATTAGGTTCATGAAATTATTCCTTAAAACATTTTTCAAGTGGAACACAGGAGCTCACAAACAATGAAGGCCAAGATTAATCAAATTCCTTTCCTTTATGTATTATTTGGCCATTTCTCTACTTTTTCTTACATATGCACAGAAGATTGAATAAAATAAGAACAGAAAGTGAAAGAGAGGTGTGATGTTCAAGGCTCTCATAACTCGAGAACACAAGTCATTAATGGGCATTTGTCAAGCAGCTCTAACTGGGATATTTAAGGATGATTCCTGCTTCTAGAAGATTATTCAACAGTCTTTGAGCTAAAACAGATACACTGAAAGGCAAAGTGGAAAGAGCATTAGACTGAAAATATATAACCCAATTCTATCTCTGATCTCTATGTGGGCTCAGTCTGATCACCATACATTCCAGGCCTCAGTTCTTTCAAATCAATTAAATGTGTATGTTGGAGGGAGGAAGGGAAAGAGTCAGGAATTCAAATTTTTCTCAAAAGCATCTTGCATTTCTAAAATTTTTTATTCCTTTTCTTTCTCTCTTTATTTATTTATTCATTTGGTTGCAGTGCTGGGTATTGAACCCAGGGCCTCCCACATGCTAGGCAAGCATTCTACCACAGAGCTACACCTTCCACTCTTTTCATTTTGAGACGGGGTCTGCCTAAATTGCTCAGTGTAGCCTTAAATGTGAGTTATTCTGGTCTCATCCTTCTGGCTGGAATTACAGGTATAAGCAAACATGCCTGAAGTTAAAATTTTATATTTGTATGAAATGAAAAAAGCTTACTCTATTGGAAAAATGTGGGAAATTTTACATTATTAAAGAAGATCAATGAATAGGCGAAACGAATAAGATACACTGTCCTACATCTTTCCTCTTTTGAACTAAAATAATACGCACTATTGACAAATTACATACACTCCCAAAGGGGAAATGCTGACAAGGTTTTTTAAATACGAAAAGGGAAATTAACAAAGGCTGGTTTTTGTTCACATAGCAGCTTCTTCAACAAAGTGATAATAGTTCTAGGGACACAGCTTATTGGTCTCTAGTGACCGAAGAGCTCACTACGAGTGCACAGGAGATAATCTTTTCTCTATGGCTGATCAATTACTGCAAAATAGTTTATGCAAAAGAAACAAAAACTTCCCTATAGGTTTCTCCATCACATCATTTGCGACATGATGTAAGAACACAGAAACAAAATCATGCAAATAGCTGACTAAAGTTTTAAAGTTTTATTTTTAAAAGAAGGAGAATTGTATTCATTTGAATAGTTATCCTATGGGATATAAACAGCAAAAAACACAAAATTATAAATTGCTCACATCTGAAAGTCAAATTAGCACTTTCCTCCTGCCCATTAGGATTTCTCACCAATCATGACTGCCTAACTCAACTTGATGTGGTTTGCAAGGACCCAGAAGACCAATACTCCAGGGCTATGTCAGACCAGGGGAAGGGAATTCCAAACTTAATGGCCCTCTGTGGAAAATGCCTCATCTCTTGTAACTCAAATCTTGAGTGCAAGTGTGTGCTGGGTGATGTCACTTGGAGGAGAGCGACAATTGCTATGGTTACTAGACAACCTTATGCATCAGAGGCTCTAGCACAGCACCTGGCTCTGGGTGCCTTCTAGTGAACCTGGATGCACATCTGTGAAAGATGCTGAGGGACAAGGCAGTGAAGAGGCAAGAATCCTGTGAATACCTTTTGAAGGTGTGGGTTCAAGTTGGAGCTCTGCTACCATCTGGTTATAAGATGGAGTCAAGTCATTTCATTTCTCTTGCTTTCTTGCACTCGTCAGTAAAATGGGGAAAAGATGGCTATCCTGCTCACCTTATAAAAATGATGTGAAGCTCAGGGGTGGTGTTTTAAGATAAAGAAAATGCCAAATATTAAAGAAACTTAAAGAATTATTGTTATTGATGTGATAATAATAACTATCCATTATTTGTCTGATAATGTAACTATATTAAATCATAACTAGGATGGCTTAGTGACAACGTGTAAAAATGAGTTTGATTCTTACCAAATKCGTCTAATTCAATGAAATATGTGGAGATACCTGGGTTGATAGGACTGAATTGAGGCTGTTAGAAGGCCATTGGAATCGCACCTTTTGAAGATCATTCATTGGTGGGCAATAGGGAAGAAAGCCTTTGAATGCAGGTGATCGTGATCCCACATTATCTACCATTACACTACAGAATTGCAAGGAATAAATGAGGTGATCTATGTTAAGTGCTCAATGAATGTCACTGGGTTATAATTATTATGGAGTACCTAAGATAGGAAATAAAAACAGAGGACTCTTAGATCTTTTCCTTCAGGAACATACAAACTAGTGGAAGAGACAGACATGAGCACAACTGGGTATTACGCAAGGCAGAAGTTCTATGGGCCACAGCAGAAGGGTGCACAGTGTGACTGAATTGGAGGAGGGAAAGAGGGGCTTTGACCAGAGGATCTGGAGTGAACTTTCTTTATAAGGTGGCACAGGAATTAAGCTGCAGGATATCAGAAATGGAGCWGATAAAATGACAGGAAGCCTACTGGCAGATGCATTTAGGGCAGAAGTGTCTCCATAGAGGCATCTGGCAGCCTGTCTAGCTGGACTTCTCTTTACAGTACGAGCATCATCAGGTTACATCTCTGCAAGTCCTGTGTGTGGGATTGTGGTCTGCTGCAACCAAACCACAATAATCTTTGTTTCCATTTCAAAAATAGCAGAAGCTTCTTTTTGAGTTCTTCCCTATCCCAAATGGTCCCCTGGGAGGACTCTAAGTGCTTACATGGCCGTGAACAGCCACTGCACCTCTGGGATCAACCAGGTGAGCCATACAGTTCTTACAGAAGGTTTTCTTTGTAAGATATTTGTTGAGGCCCAGGTGGTGGAAAAGCTACTTTCAAAACCAAACTCTATTAACAACAAGATTAATAATGACATATTTTTCATTTGGGTTTTAATTGCACAAAACAGCAAGATTCCAACGAAATCAAGGTAAATGCTGGGTTTCGTTGCTGAATCTTTAACTGCTTCCTGTGAACTTTCTCTGAACAGCTCAGGGAGTAAATAAATACTTATGGGTTTGCCTTGTGCTCTCTGTTCTCCTGAGGGTGTTGGGTTGGAATGAAACATTGCAATCTCTTTGTTTCCCTACTCTTTATTGTGTATGCTATGTACTGGGTTTGTTTGAATAATATTTAACACCTAGAGTCTGTCTGGGCAATTACCAACTTTGCCTCATGATACATACTCTCAAGGAAATTAAAGATGAAAGCACTTTAAAATGACTGTAGGTAGAATGAATCATGAAGAGGGCCACATGGCATGTTGTTTTAAATTTCTTGTTGAATTTTAAGATGACATAAGAATGATTTTAATAGAATATAAGATTTGGGTGGAAGGTAGAAGATAAATTCTAAGAAGCAATGGGTAGAAGTCCAGCTATAGACTGCTGGGTTTAAAACCAAGTTATTGCTATTTTAGCCATGACATTTCATGAAGTAAACAAGGGATAAATGCACTGGAAGTTATACAGACTTTCACAGAAAAGACAGTTTTCCATGATACAACCTATCATGAAAAACTAGGTATTTGTTTGACAGGGGGAGAGGATAAGATTGACGATACCTATTAGCAGATGTTTTGATTTTGTTTATTAAGATGAGGGCTAACTAATATTATTAAAATTCCACGTGGATCCTGAATATCACAGACTGGAAGTAAACAGGATTTCTTTCATGAATAAGATTTTTTTTTTTTTTTTTTAAATACTGGGGATTGAACCTAGGACCTCATTTATGCTGGCCAGGTGTATTGCCACTGAGCCACACCTCCAGACCCAGAATGCTAATGAATAGGTTCTTTCACATCTTTTTTTTTTTTTTTTTTTGCCAACTGTGAATCCACTTCTTTGAAGCTTTGTGGCAACTGACTCCTAAAAGTTCTTCCCAGGTGACATACATCTGACTGAATGAATGATAGTTTTTGACAGAATGTATTTATTCAAAACATACCTTGTTCTGAAAAATCTCTAATTTCTAAAACAGCACACCTAGTCCAGATGTTGGTAAATTCTCCACAATGTCTTCTCTCATTGTTCCTTTCCCTCTGTTTTCCCCAATGCAGTGATCTATCTTACTTTCTATTTCCTGTCTATGAATGGCTCTGAATAGCGTGTATCTTTCCTTTTAAGCACATACTTGGATTTGAACAGGTGTTTTCTGAATATGCAGCCTTGACCTAAACAAGTAAATTTAATCAAATTAATTTACCCAGGCTGAGTTGGCAAGATATTTTCATTAAGTCATCTGGGCAATCAGGTCAAATTTGTTCTCTGTGTTATTTTTAAGAGGAATTCGGGGGAAAATATTCTACGTTATGAGAAAGAATATATATATATATATATATCTATATATATATCTCAAAGTATCTGAAGTACCTGTATGTATATGCTCAGTGAAAAGTGTTTATTTCTTCCTAATCCTTTTTTTTTTTTTTTGCAGTAAGTGAGGATTTAGGAAGTTTATCATTATTGTGATCTTACCATTCAAGTTCAAAATTGATAGTTCTGTATTACAGGAATACATTATGAGAATTGTCTTGTTTTGTCTTGGCTCTGCTAATAATTTGCACTGACCATTTCTAACTCTCAGTCCTCCAGTGTTTTTCCAGGATCCTCATCACTACACACAATGAATTCCATTCTCATC